TAGCGTGAGAAACTGAAAGTGTAAATAAGGACTAAAAGGTATAATAGATAATGTGAAATAGGAAGAAAAGGGGCAAAGGGGAAGGGGAAGAGGGAGGGGTAGGGCAAAGGAAAGAAGGGAATGGAATTAACGTGAGAAAATGAAAAAATGGAAACAAAGTCTTTGTAAATAGGGAGGGATGGACGGGTTGAATGGAAGGCAGGGGAAGGGGGAAAAGTAAGAACCAAGAGAGATTATGTAAAGGTGCAAATTTCCAATGATGAATGTCCTTATATTGTACACCTAAAATGTACCAATAAAATTAATTAAAAATAAAACACAAGGTAAAGGTAGAAAGACATAAACGTTGGCGTTAGTCAATAAAGGTATCAATATCCAGTCCAGCCTTAAAAAGGACACTTTTAGAAAACTTTCCCTAGATATATACTGAAAAATGCAAGTTATTCTAAAATGTTTACCAATTTTGAGGTCAAAGGCCTACACTGTCCTAAAAGATCCAGGTCCCAGCTGGGCATCATCAGGAGCCTCACAGAGGCCTCCAGGCCATTACTCTTGGAAAAGATGCCTTCAATTTGAGAAACACTCCTCACTCAAGAAAAATATTTAGGAGAAGAAAAAAATAGGCATAGATTTGAATCACTGAAAACCAAGTGCTAATGATAACATATTAATATTTAAATAGTAAGAAGCAAAAATTTTAAACATTCCAACTTACAGCCTTTAAGACTCCCTAACCTCTACCCTTTCTTTTCCAACTCTACTACTAGTATTTTAATATATATTCAAAAGCTAAAGCTAGTTCATCACATTACCTTTAAGCCAATGGTTACCAAGACCTATTGGGGAATGACCTACATCAAATTTCTGACGAACAGAAGAAAGCTTTTTCTTGCCCTTCGGTTTTCCAGGTTTGGCCGCAGAGCCCCCTGTCCAGGGCAAAGATCCAGCACCTTCTACAAGACAGAAAAAGTCACCATAAGCGGAAATGACAATTGATAACTGCTAAGTTTGTTTTCATCTGGGACTGAAAAGGATGCAATGCTTAAGTAATGAAAATAAATCATGAATGCTCAAATTCAGATCTTCTCTATGCTTCTCCACAAAATTATAAATTCTCTCACGTCACATTTTGTTCTACCTGTAACCAAAATTATTTTTTTTTCCTAGGGATAGCTGTAGATATATTTTTTTAAGGACACGTGTTAATACACACAGGCACACACACTTATTGTTTCATGCACACGACTTAGTCCTGGACAGAGAGCCTTTTTTTGTTTTGTTTTGTACCGGGGATCGAACTCAGGACCTTGCACTTGCGAGGCAGGCCCCGGGAAACACTGAGCTAAATCCCCAGCCCGAGACAGACATTTTAAGAAGTTTTTTGTTTGTTTGTTTTAGGCTTTTGGGAGACCGAGTCTCGCTAATTCAGGCTGGCCCTGAATTTCTCCTTCGTTTTGTTTTGTTTTTTTTTTTGACCGGGGATCAAACTTGGGACCTTGTGCTTGCAAGGCAGGCAGCAGCACCACTGAGCTAAATCCCCAGCCCTTGGCTGGCCCTGAATTTACTGTGTGGCCCAGAGTAGCCTAAAACTCACAGTGATCCTCCTGACCCCGGCTCCCCAGGAGCTGGGATTACAGGTGTGCACTAGCACACCTGGCTTTAATTTTTTTTTTCTAAAATTATTTTTTTAGGAAGACAAATTTGTTTTTTACATTTTAAATTAATGTTTGTTGAGTGTTCTGTTTCTCAGTAGTATTATGAAAGCGGGGCAGACTGCTCAAGCCCAGATAGTGAACTGAGCACACGTATGTCTTCTAAAACCCTAGTTAAAATGAGAACAGAGAAAGGTAAGTGGCACATATCCACAGCAGAGACAGAAGGGACACATGGAAGCTACAACCCAAGAAAGGCAAGAAGGTGTCAAATGAGGCCGAAGCCCAGCTGCACTCACAAGAGTCTGGATGTGGAGACCATGAATTCAGTGAAAACCAGGCGGGATTCCGTAAGGCAATAAGTGATTATTAACAGCAGGTCTATATGTAAAATCATCCAAACACCTTCCCTCATCCCAGGGGCTGGGCTCAGTACAAAATAAAAACAAGAGGACCCTGGATCACAAATAAAGAATTTCAAGACAGATGGTAAAGCACTAAACCAAGCACGGGGCTGTCTGCACAACTACAGTGCATGCCCCGCAGAGGTGGCCAGCTCACTCGCATGCACGCACAGGACACAGGGGGACCCTGATGGGTGGGGTGGGGG